CCCCCCCCCCCCCCGGCCGCTTTAACCGGTATCGGGCATACGAGCGCGATCTCGCTTGCGTATACACGCCCGGCTCTCTATCGTCGCGCAGCGCGCACGTAATCAAAGCGAGTATACGCGATGTAATTAGCGCGGTGAGGCGACAGTTTGTTTACCCGGCCGTTTCTCCGGCGTGACGTCGCGAAACAATAAACAACCGGACTCGCAAGATGCCATGTTGACATTAATAAGTGGTCCGAAAGCTAAGGTGACAATAAGACGTGCGCGATGACGATGAAGAAGAAGGGAGGAGGATCTCCTCGCGAGAGTCGATCCCGAGAAAGTATCTCGCTCGTAAAATACTTTTCATATTTGCTCTCCAAAACCGGCAGACGACGTCGTTTTGGTACAACATCGAGAGGAAGGATTGATCTTCGCGAGGAATTCACTTTTAACCTCGACGGTTCTGATCCGTGCTCCATTTTTTTAAGTCGAATCAGTGAAAATGTCATCGATTGAATCAGCAAGACAGTAGTGTACTGATAATCAGTGAATGTTGATTCATTTTTAATAGAAACACTTCCTCTTAACTCTTTTGTCTTATATTTCATGATGAAATATATACATATACATATTTTATGCGTATGTGCATTTAATTATATGTTGTAATTGACGTAGTTTGTAATGTAATAAACTCAAAAGCCAGAGGTCTCGAGTTCGAATTAGCATAAGTATGTTTTTCAAATAGAAGTTAAATTAATTAAACGTAATTAGGAATATGTCAAGGAAAATCATCAACAACATGTTAAGATTTGAAAACAGTCGCTGCTATTAACAGACTTTTTCAGCGGAATTTTATTGATTTGCAGTTATAGAAGTTTCATTATAGAATATTTCGTTATAGAAGCTAAACTCAATTCATGAGAAGTAATGATTTTGTTTTCGCTTCAATTCAAACGCCTTTGATTGTCCTTTATCAGTTATTGGATTCAACCGAATTCATTTTTCAAGTACACTCCGGTGTCAGCCATAAATCGGAACTTCTTCTGCGCCGACTCAGTCTAATACTAACGTCAACTAATAACGGACTGCAAAAACGACAAAGATGTCCTGTGCAAATCGAATAGCGATTCGATCGTAAAAAGGCGGAAGGAATTAATTCGCGAGCAGTTTGACGTGCTTTCGGGAATCGGGAACCTGTTTTTAGCGATCACTTCCTCGGCGGCGGCCCGTGAAGTGTGCATAATCGATACTAAATTTCTCCAGATAAGGATCTACGGTAATTTTCAACTGGCATGCCCCCACCCCCTAATCCCAATTGTTCGGTCCGACGCTTATACTGACGAACGATTTATTTCGTACGCGTGAGAGGAGAGACGCGTGTGCGCGTAAGAAGCGGGGAGCGAACGGTTTCGGCGGATATCATCAGCCGATTAGAGTGCAGATGTTCTCATACGGAGATTACGAGCCGCTTCCACCCTTCGCGGCGCCGTCATGCGGGGGGTTAGGCCAGCCATGC